CACTGGCTGACAGTGAGGGGGGGGAAAAAAAGGGGGTTTCTGTGCGTGCAGTCGTAAAAATGTGGAAAATAAAGATTAGCTGGGATGTTCCAAAGCTGTGGTTAAGCGTAATATCTCCTCAGGACACAGTTTCATCAGGCAACAATAAAGATGTTCTCCTCCTCCTCACATCCTCCTCCAAAAAAATGTGTGTGTTCGATCAAAATACCCCTTCTGGTGTCTTTTGATAAGCGTTTGATGTTTTCGATGACACTGCCATCGCACCTTGCAGCCTTTCTGTGAGATTTTTTGCGATTTCACTTGAAATAATCTGTCTGAGGGTTGTCCCCGCGAGCAGCAGGATTTCTAGTGAAATAAAATCAAATCTCTCTGGAAAATACACCACCTCATCCATCGTGCTGGAGAAATCTGAGTGTAGGTGACCCGTTCTCCACAAATATGTGGGGATATGGAAGATTTATATCTTTAAATCATTTATTTTTTGGTCAGGAGGGTGGAGCAGGGAGGGGTAGGTCAGCAAGTTCAAGCTAAAACATATTGTTTTTACAGTAGCTGCAGGTTCCTGTTGGGTGATATGTGGCTTTTGGGGGGGTAAAAAACGCCAGCGGCCCTTCTGTGATGCTGCTGCACAGAGGGGTGAGCGGGACAGCAAGTTCTCCTCAGCCCGATCCTCAGAAATGCGTGACAGGGAACAGGCAGGACCCCCAGGAGCAGCAGCCCAGACCCCTGGCTGCACGGGGTGGGGGGGGATTTTGCAGATTGGAGACACGAGCATGCTGGGGATCAAGGCTCCCTTTTCCCCAGGGAACAGGAGGTTTTTAGAGTGACTAGACTCAAACATTGCGTGACTTTTCTGACAGGTCATGCCCGTAGGCCAGTGAGAAGCAAAAAACAACCCATAGCATCAGATCCAATGGCACGGGACAGGAGTGTGTTACACAGTGACACAGGTGAGGAAGTTTATTAGAGCTGGATACCGAGGTGAAATAATCGCTACAGGCAAACGCAGTGCTGAGGAGAGATGGTGCAAAACGTATGATGGACAAATGGTGCTCCCCGTAAGGCCACGTACCCATCAGGAACGATGGAATCGGTGAAGAACTTATTTCTGCAGATTGTCTTCTCCAAGTGCACCTGTGGTTACCGGCCCATCTGGTTTTGGTATTTTAAACAATCCCCCTGCCACCATGGCATAACGAGATGTGTAACAGCTGCTGTACCGGCCCTTCCCCACCACTGGTACCAGTAAAGAACCGTGTGGGCTGTCGTTTTCAGAAATGAGCAATGGGGGGAGAAAGTAATGTCTCTTTAACATCTTAATAACTTAGAAATGTAGGCAGCCAAAATCAGCGGTCATTTCTGAAAATCACGCCTTCATGAGTACTGGGTTTTCAGGGGGTTGTTGGTCCCCCGGTTGTACCATGCACGCTCAAAACGGAGCCGGCCCAGCCCCTGGGGCAGACACGGCTGTAAGGTCTCACCCTGAAGGGTGCCAGGAGCAGAGCTGTTACTGCTTTCCACTGGAGTTCCCTTCGTGGGGTTGCTTCTAAGGTTGTACCGACAGTGCGGTTAAATAACTGGTACGGCGGCCTAAGAAAAGCTAAGGAGCACTTGTGCCGTAAAACACTAACTTGCTAAGCTTTTGCATGCACGATAAAAGTGACACTAACTTGCTAAGCTTTTGCATGCACGCCAGCTTCTATCCCTTAGCACATAAAGAATTATCTGGCTAACAACAGTCTGCATTAGAGCTTTTGCCATCACCTATTTCCATGTAAGAGCTGCTACAGAACTGACTTGAGTGCTTTGCAGACATCCCTAATGCTCTCCAAGAAAAAACCAGAACTCTCTGAACACACTCAGAGCTGTACTTTTAAGGCATAGAGGCTGACTTTCCAGTCTCAGTATTCGGCTTTCTCAACTTCTTAACTTCGGAATGAAGGGCTAAAATTATGTGGTTCTGACTTCTAGCAAGTACAGCATCTGCTAGAAGTTCAATTTTGTGAGCATTTGAGATGTAAATAATTTACAGCAATAAGAGAAGCACTGCGGCAAGCCTTGGCGAGGTGGGGGGAAATCCAGATTTCAGTCAAGCAGCGCTCCTTGGCAGCAGAGGCAATTGAGACACCTATTCTCTGGCACGTTTTGTACGGCCACTGGACACCTACCATCAGCGGCCAAGTTAAACTGCCAGGTGAAAGAGAGCGTTATCTTCCCAAACAGACAGCAGACACACATGCTGCTGCAGCAATCCACCAGGGAGTAGGCAGGAAGGGGAAATTAAAGCTGACACAGAATTAGAGTAAAGTGAGTCTGCAAGTGCTCCTGAAAGCCTGTGGAAAGCAAGCGGAAATCAGGCAGAAGCTATTTCTAGGCAGAATTTGGGGGTGAGAGAAGCAGAAATAGGCTTTTGCTAAGAACTAAATTCAAACCCTCCCAAGAATCCAAATTTAGTGTTTTAACACTTCTCATATCTGCTTGCTTTGTGCCAGCTCACACGCACTAAGCTGCAGCCTGATTGCAGAAATTAAAAAAATAATAATAATCAGAAAATGTTTCTTGCAATTAGCGTAGATAGACCTAAGGAGCTCTGCCTGACTTCCCACACAGGGAGCACTCTGGAATCTGAATGAAGTTAAAGAGGGACTCGGCACCTTTGGAAAAATCAGCCCACTTATCTTTGCAGATGACACTGCCTTATCTTGTTAACGTTGGCACTTGTCTTGTGTGCAGCTGACAGCATAAACTAGCGGGTGTTAAACTCAGTCATTGTGATGAGGCAGTGAGAGGGAAAATAACTTGAGGAAAGGAGGGAGCAGGAATTCTGCTATCTTAGCCAGTCAGGAACTGCTTGATATATTCCGATACGTGCTGCTGAGGACTTCCCAGTGGCTGCCTCCTCCAACTTTGCCAAACCCTGCAAGCAAATAAGGAGAAGGTGAACACAGGAGCTGGGTACCACAGAAAACTCTGCAACAGAGGTTAAAAAAAAGGGAGAAGAAAGGGGAAAAAAAGGCCCAGCCAGCCACATTGCATTAAGAGGCAAGCAAAGCAGCCGCGTACGCAGCGAGGCAGGTGCCCCTTTCCCTCTTTCTCTCTACCAGGAGGCAGAGGGAGGAAAGGAGGCTCCTTTTTATAATCTCAGAGCAGTGGCAGGGTTTCTGGTTGCCACTGCGGTGACTCCTGGCCCACCCAGTCCATCAGACAAAACAAAACCATATCCAACCTACGTCCTTGTCATCTGTGTACAACTCTTTAGTTCTCCCAGTGGTTTTCACTGCAGAGGATCTTTACGTAAAACAGTAACTGCACCTGCCACTGACATGCTGCCTCCTTGCTGGAGGTGACGTTAGGGCTGCAAACAGCACTCAGTCTCCTGCAGCGGGTTAGCCCAGGACATGAGGAAGAACTCTTTAATTACCTTCAGAGAGGCCTCTCTGCCTCTAAGGGACATTTCTCTCCTCACTGGAGCCAGCCCTCGGCTGTCTCCCCCACGTGAAGCTAACACAGCCTGTTTATCACATCATGGCCCAAGATTCTGGCTCTAACCAAGACCCCTGGGACCAGCTCTGGTGTGTTTCTAGCTAATTCCGCAGCAAGGGTCACTGCTTCCCAGTAAAAAGCCACAGTAAAATCCCTGTCTGGGTCAGTCAGTAACTGTGAGGGCTACATGCTCTTCATTCAGTAAACTCCATGAGGTCTCTCCTCCAGCTGTTTATGCTGACACTGCAACGGGGCACTCACCTAGAAGAGTTTCTCGTAGCACTTGTCACAGTGGACAATGTCCCGGTGGATGAATATTTTATCCAGAAGATCTCCCATTGCTTTGTGGCAAATTCCACACTGCCAAAGGGAAAACAACGTGGTTGGACAGTAACCAAAGCCCCAGGCAGTACTGACAGCAAGGAGGGGGCAGAGAAACTAACAGTCTCTGTATCATTTTATAGAGGTGTGAGGACACCAAAGCAGTGAGCTTGGAGGCTAAACTTTTCTACAACAGACAGAGCTGACTTGCGAGCTTTGCGAGGTTTGACAGATTCAGCAAGACCTGCACTGGGGCACAAAGGCCACCAAGCAGCAAGTCTACCACAAGGACAGGGACAGGAGAAAGGAGGGGGCTGCTATTCTATGAGATGACAATAAAGAATTCTCCTTGTTCTAATGCACATTTATTTGAGGAGCTGAAAACTTTTGGGGACACAACCAACACCTGTGACTGCACGACTTTTTTTGTCCCAAAGTGGATGCAAGCATTTGCCACACACTATATACATTACTCTGAAAGTTTGAGGACAGAATTTGCAGCAAGATTCCTCCCCCCACCACTCCGTTTCACAGCAGCACATAGCAGGTAACCAGTAGTTAAGGTTTGGTTGGGTTTTTTTTACCCTGAAGCAGTATTCGTGGCAGCAGATGTTAAGATGCTCTATTATGATCTTAGGGCAGTCTCGGATCTCACGGCTGCAGTAACTGCAGACAGGTTCACTGGACCTGTGAAGGAACAGCAGAGTGAATTCCTCTCTAACACAAGCTGGTTCCAGTCCCAGCACTGGCACCAGAGGTTTCTTACCTAACCCCAGCCCTGCTCTGTGCCAGCTACCCGCCACTACACGTGTTTCACTGTGTCAAGTGACAGTACAGAGGGACACACATTATCCCAGGGATGCAGAGACCACAACAGCAGGACAGTACACATCCTTAACTCACTGCCACTGCATTTTCCAAAGATCATTTACATTTCATGCTGTTATTTCACCAAACGCATACCAATATTCTAAAAAAGCAAAACCTGAGAGTCATTTCTGTTTAAGAGTTTGCTGAAACCCCCGAGGCAGCTCCGAACTGTCCTACCTGTGCAGGGGAGTGCTGGAGAGGTAGCTGTGGTGGCCATAGGTTGCTCTCTCCAAATCGGTCAAATCCACAAGGCTGCTGCTGGAGACAGAAGGAAATATCAGCACTTGACAGTGAAATACGGGAAGAGCATCTCGGAGGGAATAATTATTCATTAACCCAAAGGAGTAGGCACCTCCAGGGACAACAGAGACAGCAGAAAGCTGATGGCCCCAACACTTAACTTCAGAGCACCGAAAAATGTATCTGGCTGCTGCTGTCCCCACAGTTAGAGGCAGGATGCAGGCAGCATGGCTGGAAATAGGGGCACACACCCTGAAATGGGGCTCCTTCGAGCCTGAGGCTGAGCGGCGTGGCACAGGCACACAGCAGCCCTGCCCCTTGTCACCCTCTGAGCCAGGACAAGCAGGGGCTGTCAGGAAGCCGGTGCTGTTAGTCCCATGCGAGGGTTTGCCAAATGCAGCTCAGGAGGAGGCCGAGAAGACCTAACCACCTTGCCGAAGCAAAGAGAAAGGGTCAGTCTGGGGTAGCTTTACGTAGTTACCTTTGAGCAGAATACAAAAGACTGAACATTTAAGCTTGAAAATGGCATCTTTCAACTTTTTCTAACTCATAAATACCTTTTCTGAGTGAGAACCCTCAACCTCCACATTTTTCTCACCAATTCCAATCATTTGTTTTTGTGTGGAAATGCACAGCGAAGCCTGGCAGTGCCAAACACACAGCCTAAAAAACTGTAGTGTGGCGTTTTCACCCTGTCACCCACCTTAGAGACCAGCTCGCTTAGGCGGGGGAGCTTACCCCTCCATGGGGAGTTGTGGGACAGAGGGTCCTCCTGTCACCACAAGGGGACTAGACAGCACAGCGGGCTGCAGAGTCATCTGTCTGCATCCCCAAAGCAGCACTGCTGCCTTAGCAAAACTCTGCCCACCCGATGTAACCATCCCTCCAGGGCTAATGAGCTCAGGCAGAACGGCGTGCTGACGCAGCGCTAACTGTTCCAGCCCCGAGCTTGCTTGGTGTGTGGTAGCTGGCAAAGCCCCACGCTGCTGCTCTGCACACATAGGTAGGCACACGACTGGCTGTGGACACTGCTCATACCTGCCGTAGCGCGGGGAGGCCGATAACTCGCTGCTGTTGACGTACTCCTTCACAAAGAGGACCCCTTTTCTGGGAAGGGATGGAAACAGAAGGAGAAGCATTTGCATTAGAAAAGAGTGGAACTAATGAGAGACAGCGCGGGGGACCACATGGGTACACTTGGACCCGGAACGCGTGCATGAAAAGACACAGAGTGAGATGCTGTTGGTCTTGAATAAATACTGAATATCCAGCATTGTTGCTAAATAACACCTAATATTCCCCCCTAATTAACCCACCAAAACAAATCAAGTTAATTAAAAACAATGGGATGGATAATATAGCTCTCTCATCCAGTTATCCCATTTTGCAAGGATAAGTCTTTTTCAAATCGTGTCAGGATTACGCACACAATGAGTATTTAGAGAGCTTGTGGTTCTGCCTGTTAACGTGCAAACCCTACTGGCACAGCAGTGCTTGCAGCGACTGTTTTGTCACTGGAATATCTCCAGCATATTCATCCATTAGAAATTGCTACTGGTTTGTTTTGGAGATGTTTTTTTTACAGAGCTGACATTTCTTGCACATTTCTCCCTCTTTAAAATTCTAATTTCAAAATGCCATGCCCCCATCTGTCTGTCTACTGCTCTGCCGCAGAGCGAGGGGAGACACTGTGCCCACCGGCTCTCTTCCCAGAGCCATGAAATGAACTAATCAGGCTCCTTCTCCATGGTGCATTTTCGTTGCTGCCTATAAGCTATGATTAATCCTCTCTTCTTCTATGACCAAACTAAGCCATGTCACAGCTAAGGAAAGAAAAGAAAAGCTTTTTTTTTTTTTTTTAATCTTAGCACAGACACTTCCCATGTTGAGTGTTTCAGATGAGAGTCTCCTGCGTAGCCAGGTGCTGTGATAAGCAGGCTGTAGCAAGGCCAGGAGGAGCCACATATTGCCCGTCAAAGCCTACGCTGACCTCTCACTGCTTTGAAACCCCTGTCTACATTGTGTAAAACTGTGCAGCACTTTTCACCTCTGGCGTGGAGCCTGCAGAGACCACAAATCCCAGAACACAACTCCAAGTTGACAGCCGCACTGCAATAGGACACTGTCTTCTGTAATATGTGACAGGTCAGGGTCCTGTGCCAGCCCCACTGAAATCTGGTAACACTTGCTATGGACTGCTCGCTTGCTCATGATTGACAACAAAGTAAAGAGTCTTCCAAGAGCCCCACACCTCTCATGAGTGTGAACGGCACAAGGAGCTTCATCGTGTCCCTCCAGATAGAACATGTTATGGACGATTCATGATTTTGCTATGCTGAGGAGAAAAAGGCACAACTCCTACAGTGAGCTGCATCCTGGTCTCTAAAAAAGGGCACCTGGAGAAGAGTATCCAGCCCATCTCTCCCTTTTTGGTGGCTCTGGCCACCGTGACAGTGTCTGTGCTCTTAGCCAGAAGTGCCTGAGAAATGTCCCGCAGCCCAGATGCCAAGCAGCACAGCCTGGCTTGACTTCACCGAACAAGACGGCTGCACGCACAACCTGTACTGCTGCGGGAGGATCACGACCACACATTGCTCTTTACCCGGCAGTGCTGGAATCAGGCTGGTACCCGGAGGCTGCTGGGCTGCTGTGCGGTAAGGTGGCCATCGGACTGCAGATCCTCTCACTCGAACTTGAGAGAAGCCTGGCAAGAGAGAGAAAAGTCTGTGGGCACTGGAGACGTGAGCCAGGACATGATCCAAGCTGGCAGCCAAGAAAAGACCTACCACTAATGTTTGGAGGTTGCAATATTAAGGCCCTTAACCACACAGATGAATTCACCTTTATCACAGACCAAAAAGGCTCCTTTCTCTTTTCATGTCTGCCACATAACAGTACGATTTTCCCAGAGAAGTGATTTGGAAAAGTCTCATTTTTAGGGCCACAGGAGAAAAGAACAAGATCTTCAAGTAAGTACAGAGCTTAAGTGAATCACGTAGCCTGAATGGGAGCAGCCACGGAGAGGAACGGCATACAACACATTGCAGGAGAGGAGGAGATGGGGACATACTGGCCAAAGTCCAACATGACTACCCCCAGCATAACTATCCCCAATTTAATAATTTCAAAAGCTGCAGAAGGGGAAGGCAGCAAAGCTACAGCTACTAAAATGTCCTTGGCAAACAGCTCTGCCTGTCCACTCAGCAGGGAGACCTGCTAAGGCTGCCTCGCAGGGGTGAAGCTGACCTTGCCTGGAGCCAGTCCTAGGCTGTCCAGGGATCTTGTCCCCCCTGTTCACATCCACAACACGCTCCCCTTTACAGATCGAACACCCAGACCTCCGCGGGTGCCTCCATCCAGTGTCAGACCACACGTGGATGGACTGACACTGCCACGAAGGACTGCAGGAAGCCCAGGGTAATGGTATTCCATATCGGATACCTCTCACCTTTTCCAACAGCCTTGTTCTGTGACCAGTTCAGTCATTTAATCATTGACGTTCTGGAGATAAAGATCATCCCTCTTGACATCTCTCTTTGCTTTTAAACCCTCTCTTCTGTAGCCTCTGCAAAGGCCGACTTCTGGTCAAGGGAGGGTAGCCAGGAACCAGCTCTTCATTCTCGTGTCACTCTGTTCTGGCACCCCACATGGTGAAAAATCTCCAGAGACCAGAGCTGGATGTATCACAGACTCTGTGCTGGGTAGCTTTTGCTAGGAATGGTTTAGGAGTATGTGCCTCTAGATCACACATCCACTACCTAGAAATCATTCACATCTCTTTCAGCTCTTGGCTTTGCTTCCTGGCTTCTCTTCCACAAGAGTTTCACGGAGGTTTCCCTCACAACCATCAAGACTACCCATTTACCTGGTGCTGTTATAGTTTAAGCTGTCCATGTAGAACGGCACCCTGTGGCTTCTCTGGGAAATGGACATGGTGGGATCTCTGGGAAGGGAGTCGTGGCTATGAAAGGAAGTGATACAATCTCAACACTGAACTTGAGCACGTGAGGGGATTCTCACAAGTGGCGAGAATCTTGGCTAAACATCTCCCTGCTTAGCATCAAAATCACCCACACACCACAGCCACCCACGCAAGCAGCACCTCACTGCACATGCTTAGACCCAGGGAATTACTAAGAAGTGGGTCAGGACACTCCAGATACTGAATAAATGCAGCAGTGGGGTATTCTTTGGGTTAACAGGTCCGGATTCCCTTTGACTTCTTACCGTCCGGCCGTGGGGTTAAATTCACAGTGCCCCCTGGCACTAGTGCTGTCATATCTGCTGTTCTTAGGGCTGCTTCTCCCATCATAAACTCTCCCCTCGTAATCTGGAGTAAGTCTGGCAAGGAAGCACAAAGCCCTGATTACACTGTGCCAGGAGTCACTGGAGTCCCCGCGTTGGCTAACGAGTATTTCGTCTCGGCAGTCACTATCATGATGCATTCTCCCTTAGCTCTGCCCGCTTCACCTGTGCTGGCTCTGCAGCTGCAGCATGGATACAAATCTCTGAGGCTAGGAAAGGAGGCTCAAAAGCTAACGCTTGAAAGTAAAGCCGAAGCAGTTCATAAATGGATAGATCTTCAAGATTGTTTCCTTTCCCAGCACTCGCCAAACCCACCACTGCACCATCTGCATGCGTGACCTGCTGACCAGCTGGCCCATCTGGGTCTCAGACTTGCACCTTTTTCCTTTTCCAAGGAGGAACTCATTACCAGAATGGCTTTAACCTGCGGGCAGAGCTCCGGCTCTTTCAATAGAGAAAATGAGCTTATAGCTTCTGGTCATTCTTTCCTTGCAAGTGCCCTGGGGCACAGATTATGTTTATATTGTGTATCAGCAGTTTTATCCTGATTAAATCTTCAGGCAACTGTATAACTTAATGTTAAACAATGCTGAAAAACACTGCAAATCAATGCTGCATTGAAGAGAGAACGAGGGACAGGCTAAGCTCATCATAAGATGAGAAAAACCCTGCTCTAGGCAAGACATGCATTTGGTCTACAATATAAACCCAAGGGCAGGAATGAAGCGCGAGTTTCTTGCACTGCAGCATCACACAGTGCCGGAGGGGTGATAACAGGCTATGAAGTACGCTAAAGGTCCCATTTTTCTGTCCTAGTCTGCAAACACCTCCAAAAGAACATGCCAGCTTTGTGACTCCAACTTTCTGAAAAATGCTGAGATGAAGGTTACATTCAGACCACATGAATGTAGAGATATTTATAAATAGTAGTTATAAGTGTACAACTTGTCTCTTATGTCATTGAGGGTCATGAGAAATAAAAACCAGACTGCTCCTGAATCATCATGGGGTCTCTACACATCTGTCAGGCTTCCAGGCACCGTGTAGGTGGCCTGAGTACAACCTCCCAAGGACTCTACAGTATTAGAGAGCAATTATCAGCTCAGATCTCCTGAATCCCTTCTTTAGCCCTTCAGGTCCAAAAATGATCCTGTTCTATGTGTTGTGTGACCTGGCAATACTGTTGCTCCCTCTGAGAACAAAATCCTATTCTCACTTCTTAATGCAGTGATCGTACAACCCGGACCAGAGTTTCTGTCAAATATTTCTGTGGTAGCAGCTTTCCCTGTCCGCATCCCATCCCCAAACCCTTACCTTCTGGTGCCGAATACTTGGCTGTCTACGTAGGATGGTATCCGGTGACTGGGTGCTGGCACACTGGTGCTAAAAGGCTGGCGGTCCGTGTACAGTGGCATGGGATGCTGGGTCTCGTACGCACTCTCTTTTGAGCTGAAGTTAGACCTGCTAAGGAATGAGAGCCAATTTGACCATAAAGCCAATGCCTGTATTTACTACGAGCAGCTCACACAAGTGTTCAGGATTTGCTGAGGCTGGACTGTGCCACCTTCTACTGGCAATAAGGAAAACCTGAGACACTATGCTGTTAATTAAAGGCAGGGGAAATGGCAGAGGTCTGTACTGCTTCCCCTCACCTACACAAGCTGAATTCCCAGCACAATGAAATGCTGCAAGATTCAGCAGTCGTTTAAGTTAATTTGATAAGGGAAATGAAATAGGAACAACCATTTGTGTCTGGAATCCTAAACCAAATATTCCTTTGGTCAGTCTCATTTGATTAGCACACGCTGGGTGAATTTCCACAGGCCCAGGACTTCAGCCAGGTTTGTATTGCAAAAGAGGAATGGCAAAGGACAAGGACTGAGAGCCACTGCTGGGGAGAACAAAGGGACAGTCCCACTGTACCTGGCTGCCCCTGGGCTGGGCTCATTGTGTTTCCAGTCTCCTGGGCTCTCGTGGTGACTGTCCGTGGTGGGGCAGGTTTGTTCTTCGTAAGCTGAAGTGATCCTGGTCAGGGAGGAGAAAGCCTGTTAGCAGCTTTAGCACTTGTGTCCAAACCTGCCCACTGCGGTGAGTAAATGCAGTAATATCACGTTTATGTTGGTTTCAGAATTCACTAGCCAAGAAACGAGCATTTGTACTGCCCTTGAACAGGGCAGCAGGGAGAATGCAAGATGTGCGAGGAGACAGCAGTAAAGCCATGCATGGTCCCCTGGCTCCGTACCTGTCCCGCTGTGGGTCAGATTCATTTGCACACTGGGGCTCTGGAGCAGCGATGCTGCTTTCTCTGGGTAGAGAGCTGGGCCTGGCAAGACAGAAGACCATTATAATCTGCACAAGGGCCTAGAACTACTGCAGGATGTGGATGCAACCCCTGGTGAATCTCCTGCCTCGAGAAAAGTACAACATCCCTGCCAGGTAATCCAAAGACAAGTGAAAAAACAAACAGAGGGAAAATACAGATACCTTCAAAAATGGTCCTGTGCCAGTGTGACCGGAGTGCAGCATGAGACCTGACACTGACTAAGGTCAGAAATGAGACTCAGCGTTACCACAGAGGTGTTACCCCAAGCCAGATGAGGTTGCTTATTGGCATGTCTCTAGAGACAGTCTCTGCTTCCAAATGTAAGGTCTAGGCAGCAACTCCTGGCAGTGCAGCTGGACAGTGTTTGATGCCTCCAGCTCATGAGGATGTTTTCTCCCAGGCCCTCATGGAAAAGCACAGTAAAAGGTTCACCCGGTAGAAGCAGCACTACAATCAGGCACAAAAGTGGAGCCTGGGATATTTTATCAGCATATGTATGTGGGGGAAGACACACAAGGATTTAACCCTCATTCTGCGGGAAATGGCAGCGGGGTAATTATCTGGTTCCTTACCGAGTCATGCTGGGTTCATGTGCAGTGTGTTCCCTTGACCTGGGAGGCTCTGGGTGGATGTCATGGTCAGGAGGTTCTTGTCCCTTCTCAGTATGGTGGTTTGAGTCCAAAAACCTAAAATAAAGATATGTGCTTAAGGACAAAAACCATGCTGGAGCAGGTAGATACCCATTCCCTAGACAGGAGCCATCAGGGAGCAGGACACACTGTTTGGCCAGAGCTCTTCCAAACTGCCCTGGTACTGGATCTGATGGGAATCGAGCACACAAATCCCACCTGAGCTGGCAGGATCACAGCTAAAGGGCTTTCATCCGAGATTGTCGCAGAAGGAAAACATTAGGCACAGGAGAAAGCACTCATCAGAATTCCTCAGACTGACAGCTGCTTCCAACACCTCAGGACATGCTCACACGTGATTTTGGAGCATTCATAAATGCTTGGGTAGTACTTGCTGAGATCTCTGGGCAGCAGAAGCTGCCTGCCATTGTAGCACCAAGGGAACCATGTGCAGAAACTGTCTCTCGGACTTCACCCACTGTGTGGCTCTCTCTCATCCAAGTGGCTTTTCCGACAGCGCAGGAGGGATCGCCTGCTGTAATGTGCCATTATAAAGTCCTTGCTCCTGGGTGCAAAGCAGAGGAGCTGTTCTCTGGTCTCAGGTACATTGGGAACAGAAAAAGACATGAAGAATTATGAACTTAATAGATACTGTGGATAAGTCCTACTGAGCACTCACCCTTCTTGGATCAGCTCTGGTTTATAGTCATCTGAGGCCTGCGTGCTCTCATGCGCCCTTTCTCTAGCGGTGTTCCCCTCTTTGAAATCCTGGGAAGACCTGGCAAACAAAAAGAAACCCCACACATGGCTGCCAGGCACCAACACCTGACAGATCAGTTCAGGACACGCTGAGAAGAAAGTCACAAGGCTTTGGTGGAGGATATTGCGAGGGCTAAGCTGTAACCAGCACGTGAAACACTGACTTCACGGCACTAAGCACCGCTTAACTGCTTGGAATTCAGTGGACGGAGCAAGCAGCAACATTTTCACATGCTGAAATTAGCTCTTTAAAATACCAGTCCAAACTATGTTCTCTAGACAAACACGCTGCTTTCTAGCATGGAAGTCAACCTGCAGGGTATCGGATTATTTACTGTGGCTATATCACACATCAAGATGTGCATTCCAGGGCAGGCACCACATCTGATACAGTGTGTGATGATACCTGAGGCAGAATTTGAAGTGTTCCTCCCTGTCCAACACTCTGAAGGGGTTTTTTTTGGAGCCAGACTCACTCATTCAGGTTATCCAATGATACCACTCAACACGGCTTCGTCTCCCCTTGCCTTTCTAGCTCAAACTCCCTTTCCTCAGGCTGCACGTTGTGCCACATGCAGCAAGGCTGTGGCTGATGGGAAGAAACTGGGAAATGGTCAAAGCATTTGCTATGTGGTCAGTCCTCAGTGAACAGGGGAGGAAATTTACTACTTCAGTGGATGCTGGAGAGAGGAGCAGTTCAGAGCTGCTTGGACAAATGGCCCTTATGATGCTGTTGTTCTGGTGCTCGATATCTCCTGAGCAATCAGGATTACCAAGGCTTTCAACAATAAGAAAGAATAGATCAGCAAACGTAGGGTTAGCACCCCAGGTCCTTACGTTGCTTCATCCCAGTAAGGCTTGCTGTATGCTGGGACCTCGGGACTCGTGTATCTGCTCTCTTGGGTGCTGCTTCTCTCCTTGTAGCCCACCACGGATCTGATAATTAAAGAAAGACTCATTACATCTTTATAACTGGCACATGAATCATTGCAGTAGTGAATACTCTCTACTCACCAGGCAAGGCTTACACCAGTCTCTACCATTCACTGTTCCACACCAGGGTTTTTCTCTAGGGACCATATTTAGACAACAGTGGCATTTCAGTGTATTTCAGCTGCTGTTCAGCTCCCCTGCTGCCACTGCAGCATTGCTGCAGCATTTCACTGGATTATCAGTGGGTGAGAAGGCAGCGACTGAACCCTACCAAGCACTCAAGCACCAAGGCGGGAAAAAAAGCTGGGGTGCTTGGCTCATATCAGCAATGGAGGAGGGACACAACGCAAAACTCTTGGTTTATTTTGCAAGCTGTGCTTTAAACCTCAGCACAGTTGCCTTCATCCTGAGGACAAAAAGCTGTGACAAGAAGCCTCTTTCTGTGCCTGCCCATTCAGATTTCCCTCAATCCTCAGCATTACTCATATGTCAAATAAATCTACCCCACTCTTACCTTTTAAAGGTATATTCTGTGTCCTCTAGGTGCACAGGGGCTCTGTCAGTAGGAGGAGAGGGGACACCAGACTGCAAGCTACACCTGTCAAAAAAAGGAAAGAATCTACAGCTTGCCAAGGCTTCAAGTGGGACTTGAAATAACAGCACTGCACTTATTATATGAGAGCAGAAAACAGAAACTAATTTTCTGAGAGAACTGATTTTTCTTCAGAAAAAACATTTTCACTATCTCTAATCAAGAAGAATAGAGGCTGTCAGTGGAACTAATGCAGTTTCTTGGCCTCAATTCACACACATCTTGGCTGGATATGTCACTTTCTGGCCTGTCACAGGATCATGCACCCGGGACAAAGCACAACATGAATAACTTTGGGGAAGATGTTCCTACATTACTACCAGCAGCTCTAGGTCTTGTGTTTTACATCATCCTACTGGGAGCCTTGTGATCCTCCTCACCTCAGCTGGGAGGTCTGAAAACATGGTTTGCTCACCTCAAGCCCTTTGGTAAGCCAATACATGGAGACAAGTCCCCAAATAACAGACTAAAGTAAGCGAAGAAAACAGCTTCAGGGAGATTAGTGTGCTTGATGTCAACAGCAGCAATTCTTTCCTGACTCCACACCTCTGACGTTGTCAGGGGAACAAGCGCACTCTAAAAAGCATGTGGAGTGGAGGCACTTTTGAGATTAATGCTAAAAGCAACGATAAAGCTGTTGTATCAGCTCCCAGGATGCTTCTGTAGAAAAAAGTTGATGTGTAACAGCAAACAGAAAGAATGCCGTTCCCACTGGTTAGCCACCTGGGATTTCCTGGCTCCCCCTGTTTTGTTGCCCAGTTTGGATTCTATTTCCAACTCCACTCTGGACAAGTTACTTATTCCCCCTCCCACACCCGCCCTCCACAAGCAGCCCTGTGGGTACCAGCACCAGGCCCTGACCTCGCAGGTCCAGACTGTGCACCGTCCAGGTAGGGAGAGGGCTCATACTGACGGTGCAGCTTCTCTGTGGCATCTGCAGGTCTGTCCCTGCAACCAGAGTTGGACCTGATGAGACAGGGAGATTCACGGGTCACAGAGGGAAGCTGAGCAAGGTGGAGAACGGAGCAAGAAGCAAAAAAATCAAACATAAGATTTTCCTGTCTCAAACATAACGTCTTGTCCTCCCTCCTGCTTTGCTCGGTAAATTTCCTGCAGCAGACCTGAAGGGCAGAGACAGAAATTCAACCAGCTCATGCTGGTGCAGGGGAAGAAGCTGAAAGATCTCAGTCCATTTCAATCTGGTGGATCAGGTCGACCCCGCTTTGCAAGTGGATGCAAGTGCTGCTCCCAGAACGTATTTTTTAGGGCAGTATTAGGTCAGGAAAAGACCCCTCTCACTCTAAAATCAAGAAGAAAAAGTGGATTTTAAACTTACTTTGGTGGGTAAAATCCATTGTCAGCTTCTGTGTGTTCAGAATAACTGAAAAGGATAGAAAGCATCTTTGGTTTGGGTGATGTTCTACAATTATTTTCTTATGCACTGAATTAAAGAGAGAGTAGGAAATCTCTAAAATCCTGAGATGTTCCTAAGGATATTTCTACAGGTAAAATGGCAAGAAACTTTGGAGAAATTCAGTGCATCTGAAGTAAAAAGGAGCATTCAGTAACTCTGAACGTCATCGACGCATGACAGATGCCCGTGGTATGGAGTCACTAGAAATTCAAGCCAGGACTCTTCCAAAACCAGTGGGATGTCCTACAGCCCACAGCTGCTACACAGGCACCTCCATCTGCACGCCCAGGAGGGAAGGAACAGCCCTGACATCCTCTGGCTTGTCTCAGGGGAGCTGACAAAATGGGGAACTTCAGGTGTCTGATCCAAAAATCCTGTTTCTGGTTTTTTGTTTCCAGGCTGTGGGCAGCGAACAGCCCATGAGTGAACAGCTCTCACTGAACATTTCCTCTTCTGCACACCACCCTTCCTCCCTTACTTCCACTTTCTCGGGCACGACAGAAGCACAGCCACTGCTCTTTGCAGTTTGCAACCTTTCTTGATTGGAAAATCTCAGATTTTTTTCCAGTGGGGGTGCAGACTCCCTAGAAAAGCTGTGAAACAGACAGCATAGAGACTGCCACGTGCAGCTGCAGAACAGGCAGGAACTGAGCTGTTTCAGTTGCCTTCAGCGGATCGCTGAGAGGTACCCTCAGACTCTCAGATGTTTCTAGATCAAATGAAACCTCTGGAGAGGGAGGTGTGCCTCCAGCAAGGTCCACTGGCAGCGGTGACGTCCTTAGCATTGGCTCCACACAGGAGAGTCAGGAAACAACTTTTCCTCATCACAGAACTTTTTCATTCGCCAGACAGTTTACAGGATGTGCAATTTCCTTTTGTGTTTGAGTTTTGGGGTTTGGTTTGGTTTTTGGTTTTTTTAGGGGGGTCTCTTGTTGTAAAAGTGAATAGGCAGGTGGAGGTTGGAGGCTTAGAGGGACTGTGTGAGTGTGAACCCCTCTATACTGCAAAAAACCAACCAACCAAATTACATTGCAGAATTGGTTTACATTTGGCAATAAACCTGGAGAATGCAGAAATGACCCGCAAAAGTGACTTTTTTTGTATGATGGAAATAAAAAAAAACCTGGAACAATTTTACTGAAGAGGGTAGCGTTTTCTGTTTTTTCCCCCTTCTTAAATAAAATTGTAGAGAAACTGCTGCAGTTCTGTGAAGCACAGATTGAACAGTTTTTCCTTCAGTAAATATCCATTCCGGGTTTCCATACAGCTCAAGAGCAGCAGTTTATGATGTGCACAATACTCAAGTCAAGAAAGGAATTTCACACTAACTCTACCTTCCATTTGTGGAAACCACAGACGCTCTGGGGGCCAGTGCATCCCCATCCCATGGGAATGGCTCAGACTTTTCCTTAAGAGGTTTGTCACTAGAAAGAGGAAAATGATGGTGAGATATGACCTGACAGCATTTATAGTGTATCATCCTAGAACAGTCTACTGACATTTAGCTAGGAGCAGCACAAAATAAGGCTAACTCCATCTATCAGGACAGGACTGGCCAACCTTCTGAGTACACTGGCCCTGGCTGCAGCTCACGGGTTACTCAGAGAGATGTGTTGCTCCCTGCAGCGAGGTGAGCATAAGTGCCCTACAACAGTGTTTCTCTCTCTGCTCATGGGCCAGAAACTCCTTCCTACAGGCCCACCAGCTGGACCCTACACCCATCTTTCACTCCCCCAGACCCTTCAAGCTGTGCATCTGTCTCCTTCCCTCCCTGCCAATTACTCCAGTTTTAGGTGGCTTAAGTAATGAGGCATCCTCTAACTTCTCTGGGAGACGGCCTCACAATTAGGAGCAGCTATGTGACCCAGCTGACCCCAAGCACAAGGGGTGCATTGTCATCGGGCTGTCCCTGCAACGACATACAAGGATGGATTTATGGGCCTCAGCTGAATGACCATGACAATAGGCCAGCCTCTACCTCTTCTCAAGCACTCAAGACTTTGCTTCAGCCTGAGAGATCAGGTTGGGATTGTTTCTAGCTTTATCTTCACTGATGGAAGTGGAGAGCGTGCTGCAATTAACCGTATATGCTACAGAAACTCATTTGGGGAACCCAAGCCTTCTGCAGCTGCTTAAGCACAGCAGAGCGAAATGGGAGGGCACGTGTACAACTCTGCTTACTCCAGTCTGGACACAGACAAAAGTCCAGGGTGGTACCACTGAGAACAAAAAGAGCCCTGCTAATATGGGATGTATTTTAAAAATCCGGCATTCTCCTGTGCAGTCCAGAGGATAAAGACTACCTACTGGACATAAGCGTACAAGGAGGGAGTGATCTCTCTCTCAGGGGGCCAGAAGCTTCCCTGCACTCAACTGCAAGTTCCCCTCTCACCTCTGCAGCTACACAGTGTCAGAGCTCTGCCCCTTAATGTGTCCAGCACCTGTACCCATGCTTTTAGGTTCCCAATCAGCTCCTTCTTTCTTAGGTTTTCCTCCAAACAGCAGAAGTGTTTACACTTTCAGCCACCCCTTCAGACTTTCTACAGGGTGCAGGGGACCAGAACCAATGTTAGCAGGAGCCACCAGCAACTGGGGTTCAACACATCCCTTGTGGCTGGAAGAAGCTCCCCAGGGAACAGCAGTGGGAGGGCAACTGCAGTGGCAAACAAAACAAAACAAAACAAAACCACATGAAGTAAACTCTCGGGACTGAGCCAGAGAGGAGAATCCTCGAGGGAGGTGAAGGAAGAGCAGAGAAAACCGAAGAGCTGCAGCCCAGCCAGCAGATGATGCTCTTGGAGAGCAGCCCAGGACCATGACTGGAGAGATGCCAGCTGTCTGAGAGCACTAGCAGGTATATACTGGTTTTGAGCAAAAAGCAGGGTTGCGCCTTATGTTCAGCAGCACAGATCAGCTTTTCTCAACTTCTCACCCGTCGCCAGGCTGTGACACAGTTTCAGGTGAGGGTTTCCCATGAGGAGCCTGTCTGTTTTCACCATTTCTGCAAGAAAAACAGCAAGCATTGTTAGGGAGATGAGGGGACACAACATGAGGCACAGGAACCATACAGCAAGTGTGCTACATACAGCGCAGGGACCGGATTAAAACGAAAGCCTGAGCAGTTCAGGAGATAGAAAGGTCTGCAGTTTTTGGGCTCATATTCTCACCAGAAAGAGCCGAGTAATGCTCAAGCCGTGGGAGGCCCGCAGCTTCCATCTGGGTGTATTTCCTCCCAGAATGCTGTTGTAAAGTGCAGCTTTCTTAGATTCCCTGTGCTATAGTATTTATTGTTCCATGACTGCACTGTGTCCAGAACAACCACGCGTATCTGGGAAAATACCACCCAGCAGAGCCCAATTCTCCAGCGCAGCGTGCCCCTTGCTATCCCTCGTGGAACTTGAGGATGCTGCAGGGCCAACAGACATACCTGATTTCAGTAGATGTGGAGATTCTCTCTGAAGTTTCACTTGAGGATGTGGTTGTTTGGATCTTACTGTCTGTTTCAGTGCTGCAAGAGAAAGCAAAGAAAGCTGTTATTCCTGAACAAACCATCTCCCCACTGCAGCTGGCCAAAATCTTCCTGCATTGGTGTTCCTTTCTGTGAATAAAAAGTGTAAAACAAACATCATTGTTTTCAATACATTCACTTACAACGTCATCTTAGCAGGAGCAATTTTTAAATTAAAAACACTGATATCTGCCAATGTTACACAAAGAATAAAAATACCAGAACAAGGTCAGTAACCAAAGCGCTGTTTGCAGTGCTGTGGAAATCCATTTCAACAGTTTTTTATACTATAGTCATGAATTCAATCAAAGTTGAAAGCGGCTGAAAATCATTCCACTGCACATATTTGGCGAGAAAGGACTGAGCATGTTTGTCTTTTTTCCTTTCAGGTTTTGAGCACTTCTACCAGGATGTTGTCAGATCCTTGCAGGACATACCACAGATTTCAGACATAAAACCTTTTTAAAACAGCTGCCTGCATCTAAGAAAAGTCTCCCGTGTACAAGGCTGACAAATTTGCTTCATTTCACCTCCCAGAGGGGTGCCCACAGAAGTCTCTGACCTACAGCTACATGTGAGCTGCTACAGCTACAGAAAATGTCCAAGACATTATAAAACTTACCTGGAGGGAGACACTGCTGTTGGCTTTGGCTCATTCCAGGAAGACCCAGCGGTGGTTTTTCTTGGCCCATTAGTACTGACAAAAAAAGCCCCACAAGTAACAAGCATTAAAGACAAAAGATTTTTAGGTGCCCTCTCCTGTGGGGGGACGCATCCTGCTGGCCGGCCCACAACTCTTGTGACTGCTTCCTCGGCAGCGAGGCCAAACCCCGTTGTGCAAGGACACTCACACGCAGCTGCCCCGGCCACTGTTGCACTGATGTCACTGGTATCTTTCTGCTGAAATACTCAGTCACTAGAAACTGGCTTTTCCTAGGTAGTACAGCTGGAGCTGTTTCTATCCCCAGCATTGGAGTTTGCACTAAAAAACAAGTTCCCCAAATGTATAGATTAAAGCTCAGTGCATTCACAAAATTGATTTCACTATGTGCACATGCGTAATATGTGAGCAAAGGAGGGTAACTGCTTCCCAGCCCTTCTCAGACCTGCACCACAATGGCACAAAATTGCTACCAAAATTCATGAGGCAGCTCCTCCATCCTGAAAATAAAGCATTTCAGCCTGAAAAGCCTCGTTTATTGGACTCCCTGCTGGGCCCACTGAGGACCAGAGTGGCAGAGAAGCTAATAATGCCACTGCCTGGCATCAAGCCACCCCTCAGAGCAGGAATAGAGTGCTGAATCCCAAATTAAAAGAATCTGCTTGAAAACAGAGAAGGATTCTCCCTCCTAGGGCAAACATTTCCATTTCAGCCAAGCGTTTCTGCAGACTGGTCCCACTCAGCCCCACACCGTGTGCCAGCGGTTCCTGAGCAGTGTGGACTAGGGGAGGGTGTCACTGCTGTCCCTTTACACCACAGCCAGCCTGTCCCCCGGTCTCACCACGGCAAGAGTGCTGCAGCCTGTCTGCCACAGCTCCGTCCGGCTCTGCCTACACTGGGGCTTCACAGCAGCCTGTGAAAGGGGCTGGGGGCTTGAACCCAGGCTAACATCTCCCATCAAGGCAAAGATCAATTTAAAGATAATGAACCTCTCAAACCTCTCTGGTCACACCTATCTGTTGCTATCATGGTTGAATAATTAAATCTAAAGTCTAACAAAGGCAGAGAGCTGGCTCAGGGGACTGGAAATAATGAGATATTGAGTACTTCATGTCTAGGTGATGGGGCCAGTTCACGCAGCCAAGTTTGCTAGTAAAAGAAAATCGTCACTATCTGATGGCTGCTGGATGGTAGGTGAGCTCATCTAAACCTGCTCTGACTTCTCCTGCGAGCTGTCTTTCCAGAAGTGCCGCCAGGCTCCTTCCTGTGGCATACGAGCACTTTGTGAAGCCAGGACTGATTGAGCTGCGGAGTGTGATCAGGAGAGGGACTCAGGGGCAGGTTTACACCACACCACTCACAATAGAGCGAGCCTGTAGTTAAACGCAGTTTGTCACCCTCGGGACTGTCAGCTGGGTACTTTGTGACACACTGGCCCTGTCCCCTTGCCTGCCCATTTTTTTCACCAAGTTAGCTGACCTCATTTTTCATTTTGGATCTTTCCCTTTTTGCAAGAAAGGGTCAAGCAGGATTTTCTGAGAAGTCTCTTTTGAAATGCCTTCATCTCTAGTTGTGTGCAGAGAGCTGCTACCTTGCGGATAAACACAGTTATCTGCAAAGATGGCAAACCAGCGTGCCCTAAAATCAGAGGCAGCTAACATGCTACTCCAGGATGAGGTAAATACCTGTTGTCATCTGGTGGAAACCTGCATGAACCAGACGCCGTTGGACTCCTCCTCTGCTGTCCTTCCTCTTCTTCTATCTCAATTCTTTCACAAGGCAAAAAGAGAGACAAAGATCACACCGTTTCCTATTCCCCACTGCTAGCTCATTCAGGCAGTTTATTCTTGTTTTCCTTAAGCTATGTTTTCCCTCTGTTTCCCCTAGAGGCAGATTTTTCCTGCTCCTCATGCTCCCTGTGCTCTGCTGCTCGTGAGCATCTCAACCAGCTGAATGAAGCGAGATCTTCAGCCACTGTCACAGTCGCTTCACAAAAAAGCATCAGCTGAATGCTTAAATTCCAGAGAGTGTCCTAGGCATCATTTCCCTATCGTACCAACTGCTTTAGAAGTGAAATGCCTGAAGAGCATTCACCCTGCTGGTTGGAACCAGCCTTCCCTGGAGGACGAAAGGCAGTGGACGAGTCTTTCCTTGGTTCAGGTTGCCCATAGCCCACAGCATCATCAGGACTGTATTCTCGGTGTTTACAGCACTCTGGGCTCTCAAAAGCCACCGTGATTCAACCCAGAGAATCCCTTTAAGGGAAGAGTCCCTCCTCGGCTTTGGAACACTTGGGATCTCAGCGTGAACAGCACCCTGGGACAGTACACAGACACACAAGCCCAGCAGTACTTCCAGAGGGTCAGTGACCTACCTCTTGGCGAACAAGGGTGGAAATTCTTGTGTAGGGCTGCTGTAAAGGAAACATAAAGGCAAGAGTTAGAAGTTTGGAGGTAATGACACACCTTGGGCAGGGGCAGCTCCCACAGAGTCTCTGACCCGTAATCCGTATGGTGCGAGGCATTAAGGGGTCATGTAACACCATTTGGGCAGAGCTGACAGCCGCCAGGTGCGTTAAACCGGAGCAAATTACAGAGCAGGGGAAATAAAAACAGGAAGAGCAGCTGGTTATAACATGTGAAGTAAAAAGGTTCCCCAAAGGGTCTTTTTAATTCTATACCTTTCTGATGGCTGTTTTCCTTCCTGCCTACAGACCTGCCTCCCTCCACACCACACGATACCCAAGCGCCAGAGGAACCAGCAGCCAGTGCAAACAGCCTTAAGGTCCTTACAAACCCTGCCCAAGCACTGCTCTCATTCTGGGCACAGCTGAGTGCTGCTGGCACATCCCCTCCCTGCTTCCTCCTGCACTAGCAACCTCCTGGTGCCTCATTGTGTCACCATGAGTTATGTCAAGAGGAAAAGGATTTATAGTGAAAGCGAGCTGCAAAAAAGTCACTATCATGGCTCCTGGAAGATCAGAGACCTTGGAAATCTGCTCTTTTTTCTTTTTCCCCTCCCAGGAAAGAGATGGACAACAGAGCCTTGAACACCGGTAGCTCCCACACATCCTTCACATTCCTGTTACACACCCACACATTCCCGTTAGGTTCTTTTTCCCCACAAAACTATTTGGAAGCTGCAGCTATGATCAGGATCTTGTAAATTCAGGTATTGTTCTAACACAATGTAAAGGCAAACTGTGTTGCAAAAAGCTGATCCGTATTGGATGCAGTTTATATTTGTTCTGATTTTCCCCTTGTATGCAACCAAACCGGAGAGAGCAGTATGAAGAAGAGTCTGAAAATTGAAGTCTTGACTACAGGCCTCAGGGAATTAGGGACTATCATGGGTTTCCTCTTCCTGAAATTCCATCCCCTTCAGTAAGGAAGATTTCCCAAGACTCTTGGAGGGTTTCCCCAATTCTGCAAAAACCTGCGGATACCCTTGGCACTTTTAGAGCGAGAGCAGCTCTATCTTCTCCACTCACTGGAAAGGTGCCCATCACCTTGGGTCAGGCCACCATCCCTGTGAGACCACCTTCAACAGCCTCTTCCCTCTCTCCTGCCCCACACTCGCACGCTGAAGACTCACCCGCTGCTTTTCTTGGCTGCTGAGAGGACGTAAGCACGTTCCCTGCTGGCAGTGCGTCTCAGGACACTGTTGGCTGCCTCTGTCCTGGAAGGGAGGGACGGGGTGACATTCTGCTCATGCTGTTCGTGGCTGCTGGGTGTAGCCTTGAAGAGGCAATAGGTGACCAACCCCGTGGAGGCTGGTGCTAGCCCTGACAGAGCTTCCACGCTCTGGGTAGCACGAATCCAGCCAGAGCTAAGAGGTCTAACAACATCTTATTTTTTTTTCAGGCAAATTGCCAGGTTTTCATTTGTAAAAGTCTTGTGTCTGAGGAAAAGTATCTTCAGAAACTAGACTGAAAGCAGCAACAACGCTGGCTGCATCAGATGCAGATCTGCCACACAGACAAAACACGTTCTACTCCTGGGATGAGAACCAGAGACCCGTCTGGATCTGGACCGTGAGTCCCCAGGTAGTCCAGACTCAGCGACGCACAGGTAGGCTGCAGGAGGTGGACTCTCCCTTTGCTGCCAGGCTATTTGTACGTCTCCATCTTTTCATACAGATACTACGCAGCCAATGGATTCCACAACCCCTTTCCAGCTGCCAAATTAATTGGGGTATGCTGTCAGATTGAATTATGTCAGGCTTTTAATTATATTTTGTTGGGAACGCAGTCGCCTGTGGGCATAGATGCGCTCTGTGTAGAAATATCTGCTTATTATTATTTTATTGCAATCAGCCCTAATGGCTCAGCTGACCCTCCCGGTAATGAACAGTTAAAGTGAAGTCAGTCCACTTGTCACTGCCCCTGCAAGAGAAAGGTGGTTACCTGCAGGGCATACCTCTTTTTATGTTCATCTGGAGTAAAAGGCACATCATCCTCATCCAAGTCCACTGATTTTTGCTTGACATTATAGGGAGCTCTTCAATACAAAGGGAAAGGGAGAGCCATGGTAAGGGAACTGCCTCTGTACACTGCTGCAGAGGCAGCACAAGCAAAAGCCAAAGTAAACCCAAGGGCAGGGCACGTGGAAATGGGTGCAGACCCTAGAAGTGTTGCACACAAGCATGCAAGACATTTGTATTTTTCATGCACATTGGGGTATGTGTGCGCCCATAGCATTTTATCTTCTTAGTATAGGGGTTAAGCCTAGGGGCTGGTTCATGATAAATGCTCGGCTGCATTTCAGATCAGAGCCACAGTCTTTGACATGAAAAGCTGTGCAGGAAATGTCAGCAGCGCGGTTCTGCCACAAGGCCCCTCCTTTCTCCTGGTTTCAGAGGGGCCAACAATGCTGCAGATCAAGTCCCCAGGCTGCATCTTCCACTTTCTGCCTTAATGACCACCAAGGGATAAAATTCCCTCCATACAGAGGCCATTACCAGTTCAAGGAATGTCTTATGCCCCACACAGGCCTGGAGGTAGCACTGGGAGCTCCTTCACTTTCCAGTGAAAGCTCTGCAGTGCTCAGCCAGGCATCCATGTGCAGGTGGCTTTGTCACTGAGGTGCTGCTGAGCCTGTGCACAGACAGAAAGCGCTGCTCCCCTCCGCACACTCACAGTTTCTTGTAATCCTCCGTGGTCATCCTGTAGCCAGAGGACGAACGGCTTGGGCTGTATCCCTTCGTGGCAGTGCTGCAGGCGGCACAAATCATATCAGTTATCGTGACCCTCCTCAGCTCTCACCCATTGCCACCCCCTGCCCCAGGTGAGCTCATGCTCCACACGATGGGGAAACAGGGTGATCCCAAAGATCCACTCTCCAGTTCAGGGAACGCTATTTAATTGAAGGGCAGCATTTGCCTTCTTTTCACAGCCTTGGACTAGGATTCCAGGTCTGCTCTGCTTCCCCAGGCCCACTGCGAGTTGTCAGAGCTGGTATGGGCACACCCCTCCACCCCAGCATCATCCTTCTCCCCAGATGAATCAAAACAGGGGGAAAAATGGGGTTTCAAAAGGTTTCACTTGAGGTGCGACAAAGCATCTGCTTAGATCAGAGCCATGCTTAGATCTTACTAGAATTAAATGTCAGTGCCTTTTACAAGAGAGGTTTAAAAAAGAAACACAAAACCAAACCCATATTAAAAACATCAAAACAAAGTGTTGCAGCTTTGCAAGGACTCCTTGTGATTTGTCTCTCACTTGAAACTATTTTCCAAATTAAACCCAAACCCATGAGTACTTTCATAGCCAACTGCCACCCCATACTCTGGCGAGGAAAATACAGAGTTTGATGCCTTGTCTTTTTCCCATGTCTGCTGAGCAGAGCTGTTAAAAGAACAACCACGTCTTCCAGCATTTAGTAGGGATTTAGTGGAGCTCAGTGGAAGCCCACAAGCACTGGCCAAAGTAAAAGGATGACTAGAAATACATACAACATTTAAAAGTTAATTTTCATGAAGATGATGACACACACATACCTTTTTTGTGCCCCATTAGAAGATGAATCTGGCACGGAAGAGGTCTTATCGATGGTTCTGGTGAACACCCCTCTAGGGAGAAAAAGAGACATGCTAAATGTTTTGCAGGACAGAGAGTTTGGAATTAAAATCTGTTAACATCACCATCAAACTACCTGTTAAACAAAACACTCAGGACTCTCTCTTCACCAAGGTACTCCCTGAGTGTTGTAATGTTCCTAACTAATAGCAGAACCCAAGAGATAGTAGTATTCGTCACGCTTGTTGCTCCTGATCTGGTTCCCCTTCCCCTACAGCCCAAATACATGCCACTCTCTACCAACCTGATGAGGTAACCGGACTGAGGCTTGGAGGCAGAAGACCTGTGCAAAGAACAGACATTAGTGAATTAAGAAATACACGGAAAAACAACAGCAGCAGCACCAGTATTAAAGGGAAATGTCCACGTGGCTCTGTCAAGCCAAAAATCTAGATAAATGGGCCTTGAGTGATACCTCAGCTGTTGCACCAAAATTAACCTTGGAAGATTCTTTAAAAATTAATAATCATCAGAACAAGCTCTATAAAAGATTTTTATAAGAAAAGTGAGGTTTAGAGTTAGCCAATTAAAATTATCCATGCTAACAGTGTTTTCTGGGCCCCCAAAATTACCTGTCGCTCTGGGGAGCAATAGGTGTTGAAGCTGGGGATCCCCCCCCGGGCCGTCCAGACCTGAGTAAAGACAAAACACAACGACATCGTTCACTTCTGGCCTTGCTAAGCTGCCCTGCTGGACATTGCAGTGCTATTTTCAGAGAGCTGCTAAGAGAAGACCAGTTTGGGTTTGGTTTTGTTTCTAACGAAGGAGAAGCGGGTGCAGACGGTGGTGTTCCCTGACACAGGGGTGGCTGTGCGACACCCTGCGAGCTGCAGGGGGAGATGCAGACCTGGCTGGTTTAGGACTTCAGCTCCCTCCTCCTATCCAGGTCTGCCCCTTCGTTTGTCACTCCAGAGATGGTGAAACACAATCTGGTTTCAAAATACTTTGGAGATCTCCTGAGACTTCAAATCTGCCTGTGCTGCTGGATTCCCAGCTCTCAGGAAAGGCCACTTCTCAGAGCTTCTCCCCAGCCTGCATTTATCAAAAATAAACAGGCACACCGCTTCCCTTTGGCAGCGTCCTTTCCTGGCACCATGGGTACCCCAAAGCATGCTGGTGCCACATGTGCTCCTTCGGCAGGCTGGAGAACAGGGCACTCACGGGAGGACAACGAGGGAGAGGGAAGGGAGAAGAGGAGCATTCCTCGGTGGCCACACTCACAGCGGGCTGCTCTTCTTCTCATCCTCAGAGTCTGAGTTATGGTGGTGGATCCAGCTCTTATCTCCTTTCAGGGTGGTGCGAACTTTCATCTGCCTAATGATCCTCCTGCGGTCTTCATCCGTGGGTGGAATGACACCTCCTAGGAGAGGGAGAGGGAAAGGAAGGAGAGAGGAGAAGGGTTGCTGCAAGAATTCAGAGTATCAGCAGGTGAGCCAGGGTAAATCTCAGAGAGCAGGGAGCACAGTTTCAGTCTGAGATTCAAACACTGAATGAGCCTTTTGCCACTTGTGATGAAAGATGGAAACAAGCTTTCATCCACACTTCAGGATCAATTTACCCTGACATATCACCTCTGCAGAGATTCGTACAGTTCCTCTCCTTCCAGAGGAGTGTTTCACATTAATGAATCATTTTCTCTCAGGAAGACCAAAGACATTCAGTGGGTGGTCTAATCACGTATTTACAAATCCGTGAGTTTCCTCTGGCATTTCCCATCCCATCAGCTCTAGCGTAAGGCTTTTTTGGTTTGTGGGAGAGGACGCTACGTCTGGAGCATGAGGCTGAGCCAAGAGTTGGGGGTTAGAGGCAAGCCATGAGATGCAAACACCCAGCTGTCAGCTCTCTCTGCTGGCCTGTCGGAGTTGGAGGAGACATATCATTTTGGAGCTGCAGGTTGGAGCAGGTCCCAGACAAGGAAGAGGTGTCCTCTACCCTGGGACACACTGTACTGCGGGAGTTGAGCAGAGATGTTACCGCTGATACAACTGAGCAAAGAAGGCAAAGGAAAGCCATGAGAGCGGAGAGATCCCCAACAGCGTGGGATGGGGAAGGGAATTACCTTTACTGACACCCAGGGACATCATGGTTCTCAGAAGTGCCTTCCCCTTCAGTTATTGTTTGAAGACAACAAGCCCCTGGAAGAAATGAAAAAGAGGAAAAGCAGATGAGTAGTTCTGATATAAAAAATTTTTGAAGTTATGCAGAATGGAGAGCATCAAAACAGTGTCACAGCCGCAGAGCCTGGAGGATGGGGAGGCTGTGGCATATAGACCAGAGTTGTGATTACTCCCCACGCCGTGTACCTTCAGCATCGAGGACAGGAAAAATCAAACGGGTGTGTTCTCCACACCAGCAAGTCTTCAGATTGTCCATAACGAATGTATCCTTCCAGGTCTAGGAGGAAAGTGGTGGAGTGGTGCCCAGCACCACTCAGGTGGGACAGACCTTCCAGAGCCTACAGAACTCAGAGCGGCTGAGGCTGCTGGCGTGAACACGCGTTTTTTTCTCCAGTGGGAGTATAGCATAAAGGCTCTCGACAAATCTCAGTCAGCAGAGATATCTGTTATTCCCCCAAGATACAGCAGAGAGAACATCTTACCGCCTCTGTCTCAGAAGCAAGAGTTAGTTCTCGCTTCTGAGGGCAGCTGGGCCCTCCTTCGAATGACCACAGTAAAGCAGCAAGGAGAAACTCCTGCATGGACAACCTTGGAGATGCTCTGAGATCAGGAATTTGCAGAGCACCAATTCTTTAGTGCTGTAGTTGAATCAAAACCAACCACAAAGTAAAAGTCAGGAAAAAAAATTGGTTGTTTCAGGTTCTGCCAAGACAATTATTTATTTTAATTTGTAAACAAACAAACAAAAGAAAGCAAAACCCCTCAAAATGGACCCACTGTTTTGTGGTCAGTAGAACTCAGGTTAATTCAGCACCTGATTACAAGTTTATCACAAACGTTGCTTTTTTCACTCAAGTTTTTCATGTAAGCTGTGGGATGAGCCCTTGTTTCAGAGAAGAAAATCAAGGGCACCTTGCAGCTTTTCCAACCTTTCATTCTTTCCTTGCCAAAACTATCTGCTGACCCTGGATTCTTAAGGGACTATGGTGTTCATTAATAAAAACGCCCAGCCCTGTTCGGGAGCCTGTGAATCTAAAATTAGGTTGTTATTATCTGCTGGTGGGCTTGTCCCTGCAATACCGCTGCGAAGCCACACGCCCATAAGGAAACATAGCGTTGCTTCTTGGCAAAGTCAACTCCTTTGGCTTGTCTCAGCCAAAGATCTCTCCACTGCACATCCACTCCTCATCCAGTCTGCACTGAGGTGGTGAACAAGCTCTCTGCTATTACCCCAAGGCTCCCTCTCCCTTTTACAAACACTCCCAAACATTAATTCAGCTTTCAGCATGAGCAGACAGCCCACCTCTTTTCTTACCCTTCCCAGATCCCCCCTTCTCACACAGATTTAATTGACCCTGCTATTTAGAGAGCAATGAAAACCGTGGCATTGTCCTACTTTGGGTTAAGAAGAAATCACAGCATCTTGGACCTGCACGTGGCTTCATTCCCTGCGGTACCTGAGCGAGGTACATTCAGGCCACAGCTCCCTTGCTAACTGCAGTTCAGAGGTGGATTTGGTGCTCTCTTCTACTTAATTCTTTCCTATTCCAGGACAAATTAAGCTCTGCTGGGCTGGACACACCTTTGTGTCCTCTGCTTATTCATTAGCTAATACAAACGGCCTCTGCTGTGTGACTGGGAACATGTCTGTTATAAAGGGACATACGGTAAGTCACCAAGTCACTCTGCTCTAGATACCAAACAGAGCTGTCCAGGAATATATATTTTTTCCCAAATATTCACTACAACTACAGAAACTGAGGCAAAACCCCTCTATTTAAATAAAAAATCCCTATTCCCTCTCTATTTATACAGAAGGTTTTCCTCCAGAAGTCCAGTGGGAGCCCTTTGAAGCCAACTGCCTCCTGTTAAGTGTCTCCACACCGCGAGTGCAATAGGCCCTTGATCCTAATTGGCACCCCTGGGTGCCATCGTTATGTAAATGAGCAATCATCCTCCTTTACTTCCTG